TCCCCCTCCTCCCTCCCTCCCTCCAAACTTAACCCCTCCCCCACTTCATCTCTCCCCTCTAGTCTTCTCCCTCTCCCTCCCGACTTCATCTCTCCCATTATCTCCATACAGACTCACAAAAAAAGAACCATGGGGGACCACTACCACCACCATCTCTTCCTCTTTGCCTACCTCCTGTCCATATAGGGCTAGGCCTTCTCAGCCCTGGAACTGAGAAAGCCTAGATGTAGTGGTATTGCACCCCTTCCCCACCTTTCCTCCCTCTTCTTCTTCTCCTTCCCCGCTTCATCCCTCCCACTTTCTCCCCACATGCACAGACTCAAACAAAAAAACACGAGGGACAACCACCTCCACCACATCCTCCTTGTGGCCCCCTCTCCCGTCTTCTTTCCCTTCCTCCCCTCGTCATCCCTCCCTCACTTCATCTTTCTCCACTCCATCCCTCCTCCCTTCATTCCTCCCACTATTTCGTCTCAGACTCACACAAAAAAGAACAATGCGGGACCACCACCACCACCACCATCTCCTCCTCCATGCCTCCTTCTTGCCCCTGTTGGGGTGTTGCGCCCCCCCCCCCTTCCCATTTCCTCTCCTTTCCTCCCTCTTCCCCTTCTCCCTCCCCATTTCATCCCTCCCACTTTCTCCCTACAGACACCAGAAAGAACCATGAGGGACCACCACCACCACCACCATCTCCTCCTCCTCGCCTCCCTCCTGTTCCTGTGGGGGTGTGGCCTCCCTATGGCGGAGGGCGCCGCTGTCAAGGCGTCGCGGCGGGCAGGCTGTGACTACCACGGCAAGCTGTACGTTGCAGGCTCCAGGTTCCAGCCCGAGCCCTGTATCAACTGTCACTGTCCGCGCCGAGGGGGTGTGGCTAAGTGTACGGTCAAGGTGAGGGGCGTGGTTAAGTGTATGATCAAGGTGATGGGGCGTGGTGAAGTGTATGATCAAGGCAAGGGGGCGTGTCGAAGCGTGCGGTCATGGTGAGGGGGCGTGGCTGATGGTGAAGCTAAGTGTACGATTAAGGTGAGGGAATGCAGCTAAGTGTACAGTCAAGGTAAGAGGTTGTGGCTAAGTGTACGGTCCAGGTCAGAGGGTGTGGCTAAGTGTACGGTCCAGGTCAGAGGGTGTGGCTAGGTGTACGGTTCAGGTCAGAGGGTGTGACTAAGAGTACGGTCCAGGTCAGAGGGTGTGGCTAGGTGTACGGTCCAGGTCAGAGGGTGTGACTAAGTGTACGGTCCAGGTCAGAGGGTGTGGCTAAGTGTACGGTCCAGGTCAGAGGGTGTGGCTAGGTGTACGGTTCAGGTCAGAGGGTGTGACTAAGAGTACGGTCCAGGTCAGAGGGTGTGGCTAGGTGTACGGTCCAGGTCAGAGGGTGTGACTAAGTGTACGGTCCAGGTCAGAGGGTGTGGCTAAGTGTACGGTCCAGGTCAGAAGGTGTGGCTAAGTGTACGGTCCAGATCAGTGGGTCTGGCTAAGTGTAAGGTAAAAGTAAGAGCAATGGCTATGTGGACAGTCAAGGTAAAGGGGCCTGGCTGAGTGCACAGCCACGGTGAAGGACGG